AATGTGCCACCCTGGCATGCAGATTCTTTCAAGCTGAAAGCAATGAATGCCCGACAAACTCAGGAAAAGTTGTTTACCTCCCCTTCCTGCCTAAAGAGCTTCGGTTAGAAAAGCCAGCTTCAGGAAGGGACCCTGAGCATACTCACCTTAGCACATGTGAATGAAGTGTGGCTGCCAGGGAGGGTCCAAGCAAGAGTCTGTTCTGCCAGATCCCCTTTGGTCCCATCGTTTCTAGGGGGCCCTGCAAGAAATTGCTTGCCAAACCTTTACTCTTTCTCTTTTACCTATGAATTGTCTATCTCCCCTTCCTTAGTCCAAAATGACGTGCATACCTATTTTTCCTCACTGTCTTTGGAATTTCCATGCTTATGTGAATTTCCCGTCTCTCTATATAAAAGGCTAATATGCAAAGTGTCCCCTCAGGAGTTCGACTGGGAGTTCAAACACTAACTATGACATGTGCTGACCACCAGAGGGTGGCACAGAATGAAGGAAGGCTCTGGCAGGCAGCCGGAAGGCCCAGATAAAGCCCTGATCACCAACCAGGCCTAGGGACCCTACCTGTGCACATATTTCGTGCACTGGGCCTCTAGTGTGTACATATTACATTTTGATTTTTCTCCTCTATGTCCCTAGTACGTAGTCCTGCTGTATGTCGCTTGAATTATTCGACCAGGCAGAGGAACTAAAGGGGTGAGGGGGTCAGAAGTAGTAAAGGGGTGAGGGGGGTCAGAAGTAGTAAAGGGGTGAGGGGAAAGTTTCCCAGGCCCAGACACTACTCTAAGATTACTCTTAGCCAGGGTGTCCTTGAGTGATTTCTAATATAAAGTCTCCAACTTTCTAATAAGCATGTAGCTCAGGGACACCATCTTTCTAAAGGATTGGCTTCTGGAGGGGGAACAGGCCCAGATGGTTTCAGACTTGACAGCAGGGATCTGTGCAGCTAACGATTTTATTCCTCCTGCTCTGTCCTCCTCGTTAGGTCCTCACTGAAAGAAAGGAGCCAGGCCAAGAGACGTAGTGAGAGTTTAAGAAATTTTATTTCATTCTCTCACAGTGTGCTGGGACCAGTGTGCTGGTGTCAGCCTTGAGGGGATAGTTAAGTTCTCTTATATAGAGTAGAAGTATGCAATATAGGGTCAGGATGTAGGTGCATGAGTAGGCCAAGCAGAGGGAAGGGCAGGAGTTGGTCAGGGGAGTCAAGGGAGGAGAGTGCAGAGGTTGGCCAAGAGAAGGGCGTTTCATCTTATCTTGCTTCTGCAGGCGCCAGCCGTCTGCTCCAAGCTGTGGGAAAAGGCTTATAACAATATATATTTCAGAAAACATGTCCAAGCAGGAGAGATTAAGGGTACTTCATCTAACACTCCTTTAGTCTGGAAACACATTTTACATGCTGGTCTCACATGTGGAAGCTGCCACGGCCTCTGAACCAATGATAATGCAGGTGTTTAGACCTGGTCAGCCCATAGGATACACTTCAGATTGAGTGGTTATTGTTGAGCATTTTTGGAGCAGAGTGAAATGCTGGCTTTCTTTGACTCTATCTTAATCCTAGCCTGCATTTTTCTTTTGGCCTGCAGGCCAATAGCCTCTGCTTTAGATATGCTGATTAGAAGAATTCTGCTTGAGGCTTGAGGTTTTGTAAGAACGGCCCCTTGTCAGAGGGCCTCTCAAGAAGAGGTGGGGAAATATGTACAAAATTATGACTGTTTATCAAAAATTTGCAAGATCCTCAAGACTGGACTCGGATCAGCAGGGGTCAATGGACTGGGAACAAAGAGATTTAGAGGTTCTGCATGCTCTTCCTTGGATCTCTGTTGGTACCTAGATGTCTGTATTCATCACTGACCTCTTGCCCCACTCATTCTCCCTTCCCCTGACATAAAAGAAGCCGGAATTCTGGGCTCTCTTAAGATTGATTGGAAGAAGCCCTAAGGCCCCACATCTTCTCCAGTGAACTCTGACAGTGGTTTTTTGTTTGCTTGTTTTAATCCTCGCCCAAGGATATTTTTCCATTGATTTTTAGAGAGAGTGGAAGATAGAGGGAAAGACAGAGAGAAATACAGATGTGAGACAAACACATCAATTGGTTGCCTCCAGCTCAAGCCCTGATCAGGGCCAGAGCTGGGGAGGAGCCTGCAACCGAGGTACATGCCCTTGACCAAAATCCAACCCAAGACCCTTCAGTCCTCAGGACGATGCTCTATCCCGTGATGGCGAACCTTTTCTCGGCGTGTCAGCATTTTGAAAAACCCTAACTTAACTCTGGTGCCATGTCACATATAGAAATTTTTTGATATTTGCAACCATAGTAAAACAAAGACATATTTTTGGTATTTATTTTATATATTTAAATGCCATTTAACAAAGAAAAATCAACCAAAAAAAGTCATAGGTTCACCATCACTGCTCTATCCACTGAGCCAAACCATTTAGGGCTGAACTCTGACAGTTTAAATATTGACCTTTGATGTGTTGGGCACATAGACTTTGAATTACACAGTTTCATCTTTTTGGGGAATTTCTCATGACAGCCATAAACTGTGGTGCCATCCTAATTTTATATACAAGGAACCCGAGGTCAGGGGAGTGGCTTCATTCATTTCCAAAGGGTAACGAACACCATCTGTATGCCAGGAACTAGGAATCCAGCCCTGGGTTGTGGGCTCAATTCCCAATAGGGGGCATGCAGGAGGCATCTGAGCCATCATCCTTTCTCTCTCTCTCTCTCTCTCTCCCCCCTTCCTCTCTCTAAAAATCAGTAAAAACATATTTTTAAGAAAATAATATTTGATAGTTATTACCAAATTAATTTCCTTTTTTTCTTTTTTCCTTAACCAATTCGTCTAGATATGAGAGTGAGGGACTGGCCCAGAAGTCTAGTCTCCGGAAAAGGGGAAGCTCAGTCCCAGTAGAAAGCAGTACGAGCAGAGACAGTGCACTATGTGCTTCTTGAGATTAGGATTGTCTAGCTCATATGTGTTCAACAAATATTTATTGTGCCCTTACTAAGTGCTCTGGACAACGGACATACAGTGACAATGAACATAATAGGCATGGCATTTTAAAAGCATATATATGTTTATTGATTTCAGAGAGGAAGGGAGAGGGAGAGAGAGATAGAAACATCAATAATAAGAGAGAATCTTTTATCAGCTGCCTCATGCACACCCCACAATGGGATCAAGCCTGCAACCTGGGCATATACCCTGACTGGGAATTGAACCGTGACCTCCTGGTCCATAGGTCGATGCTCAACCACTGAGCCACGCCAGCCAGGATTGGCATTATGGAAGTAAGCACACAAAATGAAATTATAGTAACAAGCTATAATAAGAGCTATCAGGAGAAAAATGGGGTGCTATGGGAAGGAATAATACAGTCCTTCATAGAGCGGGTTTCCTAAAGAAATTGGAGTGGTAGGTAGAGCCAGGGCACTAGAGCCTTTTGAACCACTGAAGGGTTTTAAGGGAGATGTTAATCTGGTTTACATTTTTTTGCAGATCCCTCTGGCTGGGAGGAACAGGATTAGAGCAGGAGCAAGAATGCAGGTGTGAAAACCAGTTAGAAGGTTTTTGCAGGACAGGAGAGAGATGATAGAGGTTGGTCTAAAGTGGTGGAGGAGGAATCTATAGATTAAGAGTCTCAAAAGATGTATCGATCAACTGCAATGTGTGTACCTTATTTGAATCCTGATTTTATTTTTTACTGTAAAAAAAAAGATCATGAGACAATTGGAAATTTGAACACAGGCTATTTGATATTAAGGAGTTAAAAGTTTTTTGTTTTGTTTATTTTTTTGGTTATTTATTTACTTTTTCTTTTTCTCTTTTTTCTTCCTTTAATTTTTACTAGTGTGTGTGTGCATTGGAGCAACTGAGCAACACTGGCGAGTGCAAATGTCAGACAGTTTAGGGCAGGTTTCCCGCTCAAGTGGGGCTTGTGTTGAGGCCCCTGTTTAGAAATGGCTGCTAGGCTCTGGTTTTTCTGGTGGTGGTGGTGGTGTATGTGTGTTTAATTTTTGAGCGCAATAGCCACTAGGAGTCCTTCAAACTATGAGGATTTAGAATCTTTATTTGCATGAGATTGGAAGATCAGGCAGGTATTTTCTTTCTCGGGGGTGGACACTAGGTACTAGGAATACAACAGCAATGAGCAAGCCATAGTCAAACTTTACTCACATGAAGTTTATCTTATAGAGGAAGACAAATAATAAGCAAAGAAATAAGATAATTTCAATGATAAATATTGTGAAGAAAATAAAAATGTATTTTAATGATGGAGCTGGACAACATGTTCTAGGCAGGGTGAGCGATGACTATTGCGCTAATGAGAGAGCCAGTCATAAAAGCTTCAGGTGTGGGGGAAGAGTGATCCAGGGGGAGACGACTGTGATTGCAAAGACCCTGAAGAGGAAACATTTAATGCAGACCCAGGGAAGGACCTGATCACGTATGCCATGAAAACGCTTGGATTTTATTCTAACTGCAATCTCAAGTCTGATTTATGTTGTTAAAAGATCACTATGGTTTCTTTGGAAGAATGCATGAAATACTATATTCAGAGTCTAAAATACTTTGTAAAATATTTCAGTCACATTTCTTGGCTACCTCGTGGACCTCCGACATCCACAAGGGGCGCTCTAGTCGCCCGGTCGACAGAATTTGATGCTCAGCACTCTATGGTTCTTTTAGAGAAATCGGCCGCTTCCGGGAGCGGCTGTGTCCTCTCTATCCGCCCGTCTCTGTGGTCGTCGGGGCCCCGCCCCGCTCTGGGCCCCGCCCCGCTCTGGGCGGCCGTGCGTTCTGCCCTCCTCGGACTCTGCCCGATCCGACCCGACGCCGCGGCAGCCGGGCTCCGGGGTTGGTCGGGATCTGGGTCAATGGCGGTTCGAGGACCCGCGCCGAGGGCTGGCGCCAGGTGAGCAGGGCGGCTGGGGAGGAGGGTCGGCCTCGGGGCGTCCTACCTGGGGCTGTGTGGGGCAGGGGCTCCGCTCAATTCCGCTCTCGTGCGCGGCGCTTGGAGAGCCGCCGTCCGAAGGGGCGCCCACCTCCGCTCGGATCTGTGGGCGCCCTCCAGCTTCGCGGGAACTCCTGTCATCGCCTGCAGCCGGGGTGTGGGATCCGCTCCCTGGGAGCTGGCTCTTCCTCTCCTCCCTCCCTGCCCGCTTTTCTCTCACCTCAAGTGCACGGAATTGAGTTGTTCACCCTGCTCGGTTCTTGCACACCGTGGCCCATGTTGTATTTATCATCTTTCGTTCCTTAGTCTCCAACCCCTCTCACTCCCCTTCCGAGACGCACACTCTGGTGTATCTTCAGGGAGTGTCTTTACCGCCCACTTTACCTAGGTTTGCATATATGTTACCTAGCAAAATAGTGGTTTAGAATTCATCTAAATGATAATACGCCTGAGTTTTTGGAACACTTTTTACCCAACATTGTGTTTTTGAGGTCATGTATGCTGTAGTAATCTAGTTTTCTCCCATTTTGCTTATATATCTCCTAGTGATGGACACTTCGATGGCTTCCTTTTTTTTTTGAGAGAGAGAGAGAAACATTGATTTGTTGTTCGACTGATTTATGCATTCAAAGACTCATTGGTTGCTTCTTATATGTGCCCTGGTGGGAGAGCGAACCTGCACCCTTGGAGTCTGTCGCACACTGTGACCAACTGAGCTTCCAACTTTTAACCACCACAAACCATGCCGGCACTGGTCTCCTGTGGGTAGGGGTGGTTTTCTCCGATTATCCATCCCATGCTGGGTCATACCTATGCTACTAAATTGTTCTCTGGAATGGTCACACCAGGTTATACTTCCCGAGGGCATGGAGTCAAGGACCTTGTTTCCCTGTATCTCCCCCATTTACCCCCCTATTAACCCCCCACCAAAGTTTGATATTATGTATTTGGTTTTTTAATGTTTATCGAGTGTAAGGTGGTATCCCATTGTGTTAATTTTCATGTATTAAGCATTTTTTTCTCTCTTTTTGCTAATCCTTACCCGAGAATATTTTTCCATTGATTTTTAGAGAGAGTGGAAGAGAGAGGGAAAGACAGAGAGAAACACCGATGTGAGAGAAACACATCGATTGGTGGCCTCCTGCACATGCCCTGTCCAGGGCCCGGGCAGGGGAGGAGCCTGTAACCAAAGTACATGCCCTTGACTGGAATTGAACCTGGGACCCTTTGGTCTGCAGGCCGTCGCTCTATCCACTGAGACAAATCGTTAGGGTCTGTATGATTGCATTTTACCCACAGAACTTTTTTCAAAAATGGAGTCATTCTTCTCAAACTACTTCATCAGCTAAGTTTATGTAATATTCTAAATCATTTTTCT